GGGAGTGTTAGTACAGAGAAGCAGATCCACTTAATACATGTAACGAGTTTGGGAAATGCAAAATATACTGACAAAACCTACAGAGGGAGACAGAAGAATAAGAACATATCAGTGGGGCCCTCCAGCCACCCGCTCGAATAAAGCATTACTTTGTTTTCCTTTTTCTTCTTTATTATGCACTTTTAGTTGTATTCACGCCCTGATCGAAACAGTTTAGACCATTTAGGAGGCGAGTTTCGACCCTGCCTGTCAGAGCAAATCAGGGGTGAGAGAAATGCAACGTCCCAGCAGAAATAATAATAATAACAGATAGCATTAACAAATGTATAGATATAGGGCAAATTCCTGCTCATCAGCAAACTCTATTGATGCGCTTCACAATCTATACTATTACCCCAGCAGACCTGAGAGCATTCTGAAATAATCTCAACTTCCTGTGAAGCATACTACAGTGCAAGCGGCCGTTTATAGGCGCTAAAACACTAACATACTGACAAGATCTTTCGATGTCTTTGGCCGGGTACCCATTCCCACCTGAGTGAAGTGAAGAAAATTTGTGTAAAGTGCCTTTCCCAAGGACACAACGTCGGGCCCACGGCTCGAACCCCCAAACCCGTAACCTCACGATTACGAGTCCGGTAGCCTAACCACTAACCAATACTGTACGGTACTCAATAAAAAAAAAAAGTATCCTCTTCACACAGGAACCGAACTCGGGTCTTCTGCGTGCAATGGCAAAGCGCCTACCACTAACCATTACAAAGGCCGATTTGAAAGACAAGGAAAGGTATACTTTTCCATGATATACCAGCGTGTACAAAACTAGACAAAATAAACATGTTTGAATATACATAATTAATTAAGCCAGCAAGGAGCAAGAACACGCTAATAAACAGCAGGTGGTTGACGAAAGCCACTGATCTCTACTTTGTCTTTTCTTTCTTTCATTTGTTTCTCTTTAATTGTCTTTCTTTTTTCCGCTCGGCTCCTAAATGTTCGCCCTTGCGTCGATATGCAGAGAGAGAGAGAGAGAGAGAGAGAGAGAGAGAGAGAGAGAGAGAGAGAGAGAGAGAGAGAGAGAGAGATACAGAGAGAGGGGGGGCGGAATGAAAGAGTTTGGAAAGATATATAACTATATAAACATTAACGATATGGTAAGAAAATGGTCCGAAGCAATATACATGTATTCCGCTGCTTTGTCGATAAATTCGGTGTTATCTGTGTCGTTTCTGCTTGTAGAAATGACCCTTCCTCCATTTATTGTTTGCGTAAACAGTCATATCAAAATAATAGCGATTATTATTAAGTGCAGGAGAAAAACAAGACAAATGGGCCTAGGCCAAGGCAGGAACAACAGAGGGAAAGAACAGAGTAGTAGAAAGAACCTACCACTCTCTCCCCTTTTGTTTTAGTTTCGTATTCCCTCAACAGGTCTCAGGGCCTCGAGTGTTGACTTTACCGGGCATAATTAGTGAGCGCAAGGCGAGCTTAGGAGAATATTTGAAATAATAGAGTATAGTATTTTGTGGGCATAAGATCACCTACTGTGATACATGTCTAATAAACGCTATTAATGTTGGTGTTTTTACACCCGCATCGACACAATTTAGATCATTTATGAGACGGGCTTCCCATCCTGCCTGTAAAGGCCAACCCGGTCTGAGAAGCATAGATCTGTAACATCACAACAGAAAGACCGAGAAACTTGACAACAATTTTCTCCCCTCTCCTGAATCGAACCCGGGTTATGTGTGCGACAGCGAAGCGCCTAACCGCTACACCACAGCCACCGGTCTAGTGAAGGCAAGCAAATAGACCGACAGACTGACAGACCAACAGACAGAATGACGGGCTGACAGACAAGCGAGCGTGTGTGTGAGAGAGAGAGAGAGAGAGAGAGAGAGAGAGAGAGACAGACAGACAGACAGACAGACAGACAGACAGACAGACAGACAGACAGACAGGTAAATAACAAGGGAAAAATCAACAGCCTCCAACCATCCAACAACCACCACCACAAGGAGAGACAATTTTGTATTTGTGGTACTCCAAGGGGGAAAACGGAAGAGCGTACAGGGAAGATTCATAGTTATATTATAGATAACACCCATTACGGAAAGTGTGACGACCTACATAAAAATTAACCTAATTAATTTGGATGGGGAAAAAAATGCTAATCTCACCTCTAAAATCACAATTAAGAACGTTGGATGTCATGAAAATAGAAAAGATTACATTTATTACTGAGTGTGTAAAGTGCGACATAAAAGGTTGATCCAAGTAATTTAATTAAGAAGTAAACTGTTCCTTGCTTCTAAGATAGTTCTGCACTACAGCTTGGCACCTACAAAAATCTTTAGATTACATTCATTACGGAAAGTGTAACGACCGACATGAAAGTTAACCTAAGTAATTTGGCTAAAAATGCTAATTCCACCTCTAAAATCACAACTAAGATCTAAAATAAAGTTATTTGTTGTTTAATACAGGTTGGGTGTCATGAACATAGAAAAGATTACATTCATGACTAAACGTCTAACGATCCAAATAAAAATTATTAAACTGAATATGGATTTTAAAAATATGCTGCTTCTTGCTTCAGAGGCCACAACAAGGTTCAAAAACATAGTTATTTGTTGTCTACTACAAATTGGAACTTGCTAAATTAAATAAATTGCATACGTCACTGAAAGTGTAACGACCGACTGGAAAATTCAGCTAAGTATATTTAATGAAAGATAGGTTATTTCTACATTCTAAGATCACAAATAGGTTCCAAAAGGAAGATTTTAAAAAGATTAAGCTTGACACTTACAAAAATGTACAAATTACATTCATGACTGAGAGTGTAACGACCGATATGAAAATTAATCGACGTAATTTGGATGGTGGTGGTTGTTGTGGTAGTGGGGATGGAGATGCTGCTGCTGCTACTACTGAGTGCTACTGCAAAGGGGCAATTAGATGTTGCTGTTTTGGGGGGTTGTTAAGGTTGTTGTTGTTGTTGTTGTTGTTGTGTGTGTGTGTGTGTGTGTGTGTGTGTGTGTGCGTGTGTGTGTGTGTGTGTATTTGTGTGTGTGCTTATGCATGTTAATGTGTGGGTTTTATTTTGTTTGTTTGTTTG